ACAGAGATCGATAATAGTGGGTTCAAGAACAGTAGGATAATGAATAAAAAACAATTGGGCTAAATCAATGGAACTAGATATGGGAAGCAATAGAATAACCTTGATGGAACAATCGATCAGATCTAATCATAAATCTTCATGAACAGTAGAACGAACAAGAATCTTGATTCCAAACCGTCAAAACACCAAAAATCTTCAATAACTTGTGCAGAAAATCATCAAATCAAGAACCGATACTTCAAAAATCAATAGATCTTCAAAGACCCGCTCTGATACCACTTGTTGGGATTAAAACCCTAATTGTGATTTGATGAACAAGATGCGGAAAATAAGAACAAACACAAATAAAGAAGATATGTTGAATGATCACTCGATTTATTCAATTATGAGGAACAGATTACACTTTAAGATTAAGAATCTAACTCTACAAGAAACCTCACAACGTGGCGGCTACATTTTGCCTCACTCTTAACCCTAATTATGAATAATACATTACTATTTATAGGGAAAAAGACAAGTATTGGGATTTTAACCTACACTTCATCAAGGGGGCCCATTGCCATCATCCATGGAGTACTTTGAAACCCTACAATCCAAAAGAAATTATCGCACAAATGCAAGTATCTAGTAATGTTCGCTACACCTTGCACTATTGGTGATTTACATGTTAAAAGTGATATGTTATATATTGGGGCCTCAATCAATGTGATGTCATATTCACCCTTTCAATCTCTTAATGTTGGACCCTTGGAAGAAACCAGAGTAATCATCCAATCAGCGGACAAGTTAAATGTGTTTCCAAGAGGAGTGTTGGAGGATGTGCTAGTACATGTAAGTCAACTTGTCTTGCTCGTAGATTTATGTGTTATTGATCTTGAAGAGAAGACACTTTCCAAATCATCTATGATCCTCCTTGGAAGATCTTTCATGAACACCGCTCACACGATAATTGGTTTCCATAAAGGGAAGATCACCATGGAGTTTGATGGAGAGACCATTGATTTCAACATCTTTGAGTCAATGAAGTACCCTATAAACATTTCTCCATTGTATCGAGTTGATGTGATTGAGCCAATAATCCAATAAGCGTTTGATTTATATCATGGGGATATTCTGGAGATGGTAGTCAACATAAGCCTTGATCATGAAAATTTGAAGAAAACATTGGAAATGTATACATTGGAATCCGAAGTTGAAAAGATTATGAACACTTTGAAAGTTAGCAAGTCAACAAAGAAAGATGTCTCTCAAGTTTCCTTGTCTCATTCACCCAACAAGATTCCCCCTTTCATTCTCCACGCACCTGCACTTGAATTAAGAGTCTTACATAACCACTTGAAGTATGCTTATCTAGGTAAAGACGAGACTCCTCCAGTGATCATTTCCTCCCAATTGAAAGACTTTGAGGAAGATCAATTGGTTAAAGTTTCAGAAGATCATATAGAGGCCATGAGGTGGACAATAGTGGAAATAGAGGGGATAAACCCTAATGTATGCACACACAAGATTCTCATAGAAGATGCTTGCAAACCTAGGAGAGAGGTTTAAAGAAGATTGAATCCTTTAATAATGGAAGTGGTCAAGAAGGAGATAAACAAGCTCCTCGATACGGACATGGTATACGCCATTTCCGACTCCAAATGGTCGAGTCCAGTTCAAGTGATTCCCAAGAAAATGAACATAAAATCTTTGTTCCCAAGAAAGTGGTTCAAGTGGTTCAAGGCGTTTCATGACAAGCATATAACCCAAAAACACTTTGTTCCATGTCAAAAGGTTCTCCTTTATCATTTACGCTTAAAGCTAATTTCGGGAAAATTGTGATCTCAATGGCATGAACCTTTTATAGTTATAAAAGTGTTTGATCATGGTGCGGTTGAAATCAAGAGTTTGGAAACAAATCAAATCTTCAAAGTAAATGAACACCATATGTAACCGTTTTATGAAGGAATTGACACAGGAGAATCCGACAACGTAACATTGGATACCCTGGTTTATGAAGACTAAAAGAAGCGGGACCATGTATTGGTAAAGACGTTAAATAAATGCATTGTGAATAAATAATCTCCATTTGAAGTATGGGAGAAAACTGGGGCTTATAGGCGAGCGTGTGCGAAAAATCTCAAAAATTCGGCAATTTGCGTGGCCAGCCTCACCCACCTGCGCATGGATGTGCGCCTCAGGCCTCACCCATACAAGTTATAACTATAAAATGTCTCAAAATCGGGTACCTACTGATGTCATTGCGCGGCCAACCTCCTCATCTGCGTAAGTGTGCACGACCAACTCTCTTACTGATGGTGAATAGAGCCATTTCCCCGTGAACCGATCTCCCTTTTACCATTACATTACGTTTTATTTGCAAGCAAAATGGTGTAATTTGTTTGGTGGCTTAACATCCCACTAGGAAACCAAACCGATTCTAATGGTTCTGGTTCTAGTCCGTTTTTTTTGGTTCTAAATCTCATCTCTACCAAAACGTAATAAATTGATAAGTTACTTTTTATTGTTTAGCAAAGTCTATTTAGTAGTGTAATAAGCAAGTAACTTATCAAAAACTCGTTATATAAATTAATAAATAAAAAGAAAGTTGTTAAGTTTTAATCATTTTAACAAACGATTAATGAATCTACACATATAGTAATAATTGAAATGAAAAACAAGAACATAGTATTTAAATAGTTGACACGATGAAAATGATCAACTACAACTACGGATGAGAGAGAGAGATTTTATTTATACTGCTGAATTACAATTCTATTATCTTAACTTGTTTAGGTTACAAGAATCTAAAATAATAATGTATATAAGCAAAAAACCTCAATTTTTGTCAGCAAGGACCCTATGCTTAGTTAGACCTGACAAAACATGACACGACACGAAAACCCGACACGAAATTAGCGGGTTAGGGTCAGAGATTTTGACACGTTTATGTAAACGGGTTGACACGACACGACACGATAATTAAACGGGTAGTGTTAGTGTCAAGACTTTCAACTCGAAGATGACTCGAATATGACCCGTTTAATTATATATTATTTATAATAAATTTCATATTTTTATAAATATATTATATGTTATAGACTTGTAGTGGACCAAACTCAAGAATTAGAAGTAATATTCAAATTTTCAAATTTACTTAATTTTAGTCATCCTCACCACCTATCCCTTTTGCTCCCAAACTTTAACTTTTTTCATTTTTCCTTCTAAACTTATTATAAATTTTGTCATTCCATCTTATAATTCTAGTGTTTCACTTTTTCCTTTTTGCCTACACAACTCCTACTTTCAACCCTATTTCAACCCGACATGACACAACATATTTACAAGGTCTAAACCTTAACCCGAAACCTGACACGAAACCGACACGAAAATAAACGGGTTGACACGACACGACACGATAATTAAACGGGTCGGGTTAGGGTCAAACTCTTTCAACCCGTTTAATGTCTTGACACGACACGAACCCGACACGACACGACACGTTTGCCAAGTCTATGCTTAATCCATCGAGCAGCTACAAAATCAAATGGTGAATCAACTCCACAACTAAACAGACCCTATGCAGCTATAAAATTAAATGACGAATCAAACTTCACAACTAAACAATAAATTTTTTATCAAAAAGTATTTATTTAAGTCAATAAGTAATTTTAATTTTTCTATAATTTGTTACCAGTCAAACAATAATAGAATAAATCGATTAGTATTTCCAATAAACAATCTTAAAAACATCCCATATTTGATTTAAAAACTCGGTTAACTTGATAGTTGATATAAATCCGACTCTGTTTAGGTTAAAACGTAAGTTGATTTTTTTTTACGCGATGGTGGATAATGGTTGGTGAAAGGGACCCACGCAAGGGGGTTGGTGAGGGGTCCACATCCAAAGGGTTGGTGGTTTCTCGCTGTACAACGCGCATCCCATCCCATTCGCACCTATAAATTCATACCCACTTACTTGTTACCAAATCGTCTCTCTCTCATTCTTCCCCAAATCTCTCTCTGGATCTGAAGATTTTGATATTTTTCTCTCCAGCCCAAAAGAGGTACGAACCATTTCTTCGAATCACATCTATTAAACTTCGTTTCGACTGCATTTCTGGCCTGAACTTGTAGATCTGTTTACTTCTATTCTTTATTTCAGATCTTGGATCTTATCCCTAAAGTTCTTTTACTTGTGATTCGTTTACTTTATGCTTAATTTGTTAGATCTGAATAAACGCTACTTCGATCTATTGCTCCTGTAGCTTTAAATGTGTAAATTGCATGATAAATCTGTCCCTCATTTGTTTTTGCTGGTGTCGGCGCGAAGAGCTTTTGTTCTTTTGTGTCCTCATTTGAAATATTGTTGATTAGTTGTTCAGGAATAGTGTTAATTTCCACTGCTAGATGACAGATCTTGTCGTTTATGACTTACTTTTTCATCTGTATTGCCATTTAAACCCAATTGATCTCAGTAGTACGTGTCAGAACTTGCAACTCAGAACAAAGAAGCATCCATGAGTTTTCCTTATATAGATTGACTCCAAAATCAACCTTATCAATTCGTACCCCATTAGTTAAAATAGATCGTCTCCCTTTTTCATTGTTTGCTGTCAAGTGTCAAGCCCACTGTTTTAGGATAAAAAAGTTACCAACTCTAGGTTTGTAGCAGATCATGTTGCTATCACGAAACTATTACTGATCTCTGATATTTGCTCTGATATCTACTTTAATTATGCTACTTGTTTTAACAATTATGTGAAGAGCACATTATGGATCTGTAACATTGTTTACTGCAATATCATAACACAACAAATTGACAACTTCTCCCACACTAAATTTTTTTCTATCTTGCTTGTTTCAGTTAAGAGATGGAGACCTTCCTATTCACATCCGAGTCTGTCAATGAAGGACACCCAGACAAACTCTGCGACCAAGTCTCAGATGCCATCTTGGACGCCTGCCTAGAACAAGACCCTGAAAGCAAGGTCGCCTGTGAGACCTGCACCAAGACCAACATGGTGATGGTTTTCGGTGAGATCACCACCAAAGCTACCGTGGACTACGAAAAGATCGTCCGTGACACATGCAGAGAGATCGGATTCACTTCCGCTGATGTCGGTCTTGATGCTGACAACTGCAAGGTGTTGGTCAACATCGAGCAACAAAGCCCCGACATTGCCCAAGGTGTCCACGGTCATCTCACCAAGAAGCCAGAAGACATTGGTGCTGGTGACCAAGGTCACATGTTTGGGTACGCCACCGATGAAACCCCAGAGCTCATGCCACTCACCCATGTCCTTGCAACCAAGCTTGGTGCTAAGCTGACCGAGGTCAGAAAGAACAACACCTGCCCATGGCTCAGACCCGATGGCAAGACCCAGGTCACTGTTGAGTACCATAACGACAACGGTGCCATGGTCCCAACCAGGGTTCACACTGTGTTGATCTCAACTCAACATGATGAGACTGTTACAAACGACCAGATTGCTGCTGATCTTAAGGAGCATGTGATCAAGCCTGTGATCCCGGCTCAGTATCTTGATGACAACACCATCTTTCACTTGAACCCGTCTGGGAGGTTTGTGATTGGTGGACCCCATGGAGATGCTGGTTTGACCGGGAGGAAGATTATTATTGATACATACGGAGGATGGGGGGCTCATGGAGGTGGTGCTTTCTCAGGGAAAGATCCAACTAAGGTGGACAGAAGTGGTGCTTATATTGTTAGGCAAGCAGCTAAGAGTATTGTGGCTTCGGGACTTGCACGTAGGTGCATTGTGCAGGTGTCTTATGCTATTGGTGTGGCTGAACCTCTTTCAGTGTTTGTGGACACTTACAAGACTGGGACTATTCCGGATAAGGATATTCTTGTTTTGATCAAGGAGAACTTTGACTTCAGGCCAGGGATGATGGCTATCAACCTTGATTTGAAGAGAGGTGGAAACTTTAGGTACCAGAAGACTGCTGCTTATGGACATTTTGGTCGTGAGGATCCTGACTTCACCTGGGAGACTGTTAAGGTTCTTAAGCCTAAAGCTTGATTTGTAACAGTTTCAGAAGAATGTGATGATTCTTTTGCCACTTGCCAAAAGGTGGACGACAGACACTTGAAAAGATGATACGTTTTGTTGAATGTTGTTTGTTTTGTGTTTTTATGTTTTTATGTTTAGGGTTTTTATGTTTTTTATTTTTGGTATTGATGGAGAAGCCTATGTTATATGTAATCTTTGAACCATTTTTATCTACTGAACTTGTTGAATTGAGTTACAAAAGCTGTGTTTATCATTATTCAATAATAGAGCATCATCAAATTTGTTTATAATTTGTTTAAGCTTACATAGTACAAGTTGAATAAAGGAGATGATGAAATTTGCAAGATTAGGAGTCGGAATGCAGCCAGAGGCGATCATGCAACCTTTCTTCACCGGCACCAAACATCTCATCAACGCGTTCACCATCTCTAAAGAAGTGAAAAGTTGGAGTGTATCGGATATGCTGAGTTGTTTCTGGGCATTCGTCTATATCTGCATATATGAAAGACAGTTTTGGGAACTTGTTGCTTAACTTGTTAAATGAAGGCAGGATCTGTCCACAAGCATGGCACCTGTAATTTGCAAAGACCAAAAATAATCCTTTATGACATACTTATTTTTAGATAAAGTTAGCCTATAAAAATTACAATACCATGATCTTCTACAAGCTAACAAAAATAAAGATGTAATTAATGTTGTTTTTAGTGTTTAAGCAAGTGATTGAGCTACCTACAGAAATAAGGAACTCTTTAACAGCAAGGCAGTTGATTAAGCAACCCCAAACAGGAGTTTTAGAAGATTGTCTTTATGTTAAATGACGCTTAAAAGAAAAGGAAATTAAGGAGCAAGAAACTATAACTCTAAAATGGCTTATGACGTTGATCTAAAACTACTTTGATATTACGAACTAACAATTTAAGCAGTGTTTCCTCATGTTTTACCTCAACTATTGCCACCAAGCCTTCCAATTTATCTTTCTTTTTTTAATCACATGACATCCACTTGCATTTAGTGTCATATTTTGGGTGCAGTTTAAGTACCTTGAGGAAAGTAGACCAGTCATTTTTCAATTGGGTTTTTCATCGAACACCTGGTGTACATGTTTGATGACACAATGACAAACTCAAAACAGAAGTTGTGTTGGAGCTTCTCGTACAGCGTCCATAATTTAAACCGACTACCACTTATAAGCATATCTAAGTGAAGCTCGAAAAGAGAATTAAAGTTCAAGAATCAGAAGAAGACATACCAGGATGCACCAAAATTGATAACCGCCTGCAATTGGAAATCCAAGGAAGAGCATATATTGGTAAAGTCGAACAGAAACCTATGAAGTAAACTTAATCAATAGGGTTAGAGATTAGTTAGCATACCGCGGATTTGGAAGTTCTGATATGGTGAAAAATGTCTTTGAGGTTTTCATCGCTGGAAGCAGTGACTAGGTTACCATGACGATTGATTAGCTTTTGTGTCTCTGTTGCTTTCAACACTTCACTGTTCTCCATATTCAGATGCACACTCTCTTCACCTTCGAAAAGTTCTAACCCTCACTCACCAAGGGAGGAAATATTTTGGACCGTTCATCTCAATTTTAAAATCCTCTATGTTGTCGGTTGTTTAAAAACTAAATTACACGGTTGTCCTCTGCGAATGCTAAAATATGGTTATTGTTAAATTGCCTCTCAATTGACATACTAACTACTTATAATTACCAAAAGGTCAATGGTCTAACGGTAAGGAATCACTTTTTCAAATAAGAAGTCATGAGTTCAAGTCTCTGTGTATTTTGTGAAATTCTTTAAACAAACATATTTCATTCGTTTTAAGTCGGATTGACATATGATTTTTTCCAATATGTAATTTAGAGTTTGTATATGAATTTAGACTAAAATTTTGTTGTTTTTTGATGTTATATTCAATGAGTTACAATCCTTTAAAGTTGAGATATCAAAATGAAATATTTCAACTTTTCAGTTATTACTTTTTATTAAATACTAACAACATTTTCATTTTGTGTTTATGTAGAGATTGCACAAGCTTTAAAGATTTAGATGACAATGATACAATGAATGGGCCAATGAAATATTAGCTTATGACGTTTGTTAGTTGGATTGATTTTAAATTTTAAACTAAGTTTTTTGGTGTTACGGTAATTACTTTTGTATGTTTGTGTTAAGATTGTTAACTTTTGTTGGTGAAGTTGATTTATATTTTAGGTGCTTTTATTTGAAAATTTGATTTTGCAAGTTATAATATTATAGATAATGTTAGATTAGTTATTCATAAAATATTATAAAGTCATTAATTCAAAGTCCAAACAAATAGTATAAACAATCAAAGTTTAACCGGTCCAACGGGTACAAGAAACGAAAACGTATTCATTTTTACGATTTGTATCATATCAAACCCAAAAATGTATTCATTTTAACGAGTTGTAACGTAACAAACCCAAAAAATGCGTTTTAACGACTTGTACTGTATGCATGTAAAATTGTACCGGTTCAACAGTGTCCAAGAACCGGAAAAACCGGACCTAGATCTGGACCCAGTAAGTCTTATCCGGTCCGGTTCACGGTCCATAATATTCTCCGAAACCGGCCCGGTCCAAAATTCGGTCTGGCCTAGTCCAAATGCTCACTCTTATTCAATATGATAAAATGAAGTGTTTTTTAGTCAACCCTTAAAATATACGTCTAACAATTATTTTTTAAAATTAATCCACACATTTCTTTTATATCGATAAATTTACATGTTTCGTCTCTGTAAAGATGAAATGACTATATTGCCATTTTTAATTTTATTTTTGTTTTTGTTTTTTTATTGAAATAAATGTTCTTTAACATGTCGATGACCTTGGACCTCTCTCATATATTATGTCATGTCATTTTGTGGTAAGTTTAGATTAAATTCTATTAATTTCATATAATATTTAAATATAATAAATGTATATTAAATTCATAAATGCAACTTCTTTACGATTTCTAAATTTTTAAATTAAATCTAATTATTTTAATTGTTTATTTGTTTAAATTTTAAAAAAATAAACATTTTAATATATATATATATATATATATATATATATATATATATATATATATATATTCTAACTTTTTAAAATTTTAGATTTTCATATTTTTATTTTTTTGATTAAACTCAATAGATCGATCCTACAACTAATAAAATAATAATTTGAGTTAAAACCATTAAAATCTACCCAATTAAGGGGTTTTTAGAATTTCTAAATTACTCTCGCCATTGAACGGTTGAACCTGAAGTAGTTGTTAGCCTAGGTGACCGTAGTCCAAAGAATCGAAGTTTGGTATGTATGATGAGGCAGTTTACTTGAATTCAGTATAGTTCATGATGGGCTAGGCAATTTGAGGGTTTAGTTAGGGTTTAGAGGACAGAGGCACAGAGCCTTGCCAATGAGGAAGGCTGCTTTTGTTCTTCGTCGAAATGGTAAGTTGCTTCCTGGTTACCTCTGTTTCCCGGTTTTCTTATTTCAAAATAATATTCTTGCTGCTTTTATAAATCCTCAAATTCAATTTCCCTCTCGAAAATTAATTCTTAACGAAAGCTGTGAGCTGAGAGATTCGTTGCTTCCGTTTAATCGGATGGTTGAGACTCCATCTATTGCCCCAATTGATCAATCTAATCGTATTCATGCCAATCGTAACATTTCTCAAGCAATTTTAGGGTTTCAAGCTGATGTAGTAACTCTCCGGATGATAAACAGGCTCTGCATGTCAGGCGACGCCCGGCCTGCTCTTCCTACATACAGGGAGATGGAAAAAAGCAAACCCTGTATTCCAAGTATAACCCGTTACAATAACATCATCAATGGACTTTGTAAAAGCCGACGTGTTACTGAAGCTGTGGATATCTATTTCGAAATGAAAGATAAAGGTATTCAACCGGATATTGTCACATTCAATTGTTTAATTCAAGGTTTATGCAATTTAGGTTTAAGGGAAGAGGCACAAGGTTTCTTCGATGAAATGGTAACTCAAAGCATCTCACCAAATGTGGTGACCTTTAACATTTTAGCTCATTCATTTTGTAAAGATGGCAAGATTGAGGAAGCACATAATACGCTCAATCACATGATATCATATCAGTGTGTCCCTGATGTTATCAGCTATAACATCTTAATTAACTGTTACTGCAAGAGCAAAAAGATAGATCAAGCCTTGAGCCTCTTCATGGAAATGTCTGAAAAGAGAATAGTTCCTGATATTATAACCTACACCACTCTCATTAATGGTTTGTGTCAAGTTGGTAGACTTGAGGATGCACTTGTACGTTTTGATGAAATACAAGATTCTGGTCTGGTTCCAGATGTTGTTACTTACTCGATTCTGTTAAACTTTTTGTTTAAAAATGGCAAATTTAATGAGGCAATCGCATTTGAAAGAGCTATGGAAGAGGTTAGAGTTGCCCCTAATATTACTCTATACAATATCCTCATTGATGGTATGTGCAAAGCAGGAAAAATTGATATTGGTGAGGAACTTTTTAGGAAACTCCCTGCTTTTGGGTTTCAGCCTGGTTTTTATACATATAATATCCTGATTAATGCATACTGCGAGAGCAAAATGATAGGTGAAGCTTTGAGTCTGAAGAATGAAATGTCTGAAAAGGAAGTTACTCCAACTATAGTGACCTACAACACTCTCATCAATGGCTTGTGTCATGTTGGGAGACTCAAGGATGCACTATCTCTTTTTGATGACATCAAACATCATAACCTAGTTCCAAATATTGTTACTTATTCTACCCTGATAGATTCTTTATTTAAAAATAAGAAGTTTGACAAGGCCCTTGAACTATACAAAATAATGAAAGATGATGGATTGGCTCCTAATATTGTTCTCTATAACATTCTCATTGATGGAATGTGCAAAGCTGGGAAAGTTGATGAGGGTGAGGGGCTTTTTCGGGATCTTTCTTCAAGAGGCTTGCAGCCTAATATTCGTACTTATAATATTTTGATGAATGGATTATTTAAGAATGGGAAACTCAAGGATGCATATCAGTTGCTGCAAGAAATGATGATTGAAGGATGCATGCCAGATGGTTTTACTTTTAATATAATAATTCAGGGATATATTCAATGGAATGAGACGAGAATGGCTGTTCAATTTGTGAGAAGAATGGTTGATGCTGGTTTTTCTGCAGATGCACAAACATCAACAAACCTAGTCGACTTGTTTAACAAAAGAAACTTGGATAATGCATCAAGGGAGGTGCTTAATAAGTTTTTTCGGCTTACATCGACAAATAAAGTAAATTAAAACTTGTATAAATGACCTACATGCAGAAAAAAAATGTTGTAAGCAGAAATGGTTTATGGCCTTATGAAAGAAGAGACCTTGTTGGGCAGCTGTTTTTATGTCTGCCATGGAGACACAAGGCTAAGGAAGACCAAGCACAGCTGTATGGCTTGCTGTAAGCAGAAAAACCCTGCAAATTCTGTTTACATTGCTGCCTTTTGTCATTTGAAAAGCTTTGAGATATTTTGATTGTTAATCACTTAATCATGTGCAGGTTAATCAAGAAAGAAAGATTTTTTCCAAGATTGTCTAGATGCCACATTTCATGAAAATTCATCTAACCAGGTGCATGTGCTTCTGCTGGATCTACTGGATTTGTTTTCTGTTTTTAATCAGCGTAATTTCTGTCTTAATTGTTCGATTCTGTTTTGAATTTTTGATGCATCAGGTGGAAGGAAGATCTTTCCAGTAGAACGGGAATTGATGCCTGTGAAGCTTAATGTCAATCAAACCACAAGATCTGAGGTTTTATTTTCTCTACTTGAATCATTTTTCTGACTTTTGTATATGTTATTGCTTTCTATCTTGTTACTTGATTAGATAATCAAGATTAATACACAGTTAATCTTTGCTCTTCCTTGTAGTAATAGTATGATAGCTTCTCAATGAATCAAGTTCTTGACGTCCATTGAGGGTGATATATGGAGACCATGTAAGATATCAATTTCTCATCTTTTTATTAATGTCTTATAGCAAATAATTTATGGGCTATAACTGAGATCTGACACGTGACAGCCAAATTAAAAATGCAGTCAACTAACTGGTCATCAGTCTCATACATTGAGCATTCTTGTGAATAATTCTCCTGGAGTTTTCAACCTAGTGAATGGGAGTTATGTCCAGAAGGTGTTACAACATCCAAGTTTTTTCACATGATTTATTAAGGATCCTCTCTTCCCCACTAATAAACCTAAAGCTTCTTCATGTTGTATTTGTATGTTGTAATGCTTGGTTGATCTCAATGCATTATACCCAGAATTCCTTCTTTTAAAAATTACAAAGGAGAACCTAATAAGATATTCATAAATAAATTGAATAGACTTGTAGCATCTACTTATGTTGTTGTTTATTAAATTACAAGTTTTTATGTTTCTTTTCTTTCCGCTGAAGCAAATTACAAAAAAGGAACAAATTGAATAGACTTGTTGGCAAAATCAATGTTGTTTGAAGGTTGATAAATGTCATTACAATTGTACAAAAAACTTAATTCTTGCAAAAAAGCAACCAATACAACTCAAAAATTGTCACATATTTGCTATTAATCATATGAAGCTTCTAAAAGCTTATATACAACTCCAACTAACCAATGCACAATTTGAATGATTGCATCCCACAGGCCACAACAAAAGAAAGAAACTAAAAATAAAGAGTAAGAAAAGACAATAAACCGTTACATTTATTCTCAAGAAAAATGCTCTTTGGGGGTATGTAGTTATAGAAACACATATCTAGTGGTCACTTATAGGTTCCTGGTGGAATTGATCAAAGTTTAATCCTAGAATGTGTGGTTTTTTAAAATATAAACTTCTTTAAAAAAAGAGAAAAAAAAATTACTAATGAATCTAAATTAAAACCTTTTACGAATAACAAAGACAAATTTGGTAAAGCCAACTAGCCATCGGTGACAAATCTAATCTATTTGTACTTTGTAGTACAATGTTTATAATTTATGGATGTTGCAACAGTGTAATTCCTGTGCACTACATCTACATGTATAATAAAATGACATTCAATCTAGTTGTATAAACCTTCTTCGATCCAAATGTCAACTAAAAGATCCACCACATCCTGCAAAAACCAACAGTCACATATGAAACACACAATTGTGGGAAGATCCACAACACCAACAACTTACAGCTAAGGGAATCGGATCAGGGAATGTTTCACCAGATGAGAGCAAATCTTCAAAACTTGTAGTCCAACTGTAACAGAAGAAGACCATAGAGATAAAGACAAATTTTCAAGAAATTTTCTTATTTTTCACTTGTAAAATGAGACCCACGAAATAAAAATGGTATCTTGAAAGTTGAAAGTCAAACCTGAGAATGGGCTGTCTAAACTTGGTATGTGATGTTTCAGATCCATCACCAACCCAAGCTCTTCTCATCTCATGCCAAGCCAATTCTGCTGCAGAATACAAAAAAAAAAAAAAAAAAAAAAAAAAAAAAAAAAAAAAAAAAAGTGGATTTTTGTGATAAATGGTTGTCAAGTTTATGGAATTGAATTTTGCCTATTGAGGGAGGAAATATTGTATCATGTCATCTTGATGATGTAATGCAAACAAAATAATCAATGCTGCTTAAAATGATTGTATCATGTCATCTTTATACACGTATGATGGTTAAATAAGTAAGTTTGTTGTACAATGTACTACTACTACTACACATAGATTCTGCATATTAATGTGGCTTAGTGAACAGAAGATGAAAATAGAGTGATTAAAGGACAAACCATGGTTAACGAATAGAGGATTTGAGAGATCCCTTTTCGTGGACTTTCTTTCTTCATTCACAATTTTAGAAACCTTGGAATTCGGGTTACCATTATTGAGAGAATTGCTTCCATCAATGTCCATCTTCGATTACCAAAAGGGACACACTAACGATCTGTATTAATGGCAGATAAAGAAAGCAAGAGTGAGAAAATTATGCACAATCTTGTTGGAAACTCACTTGCAACTTGAAGTTGTGATTTTTTACTAATAAACAAAGTGAATATGATTAAAAAGAGAAACAAATGTGGCTCATTTACCATTGTTAAAACCTTAATCCTTTTCACAATGTCCGATTAGGGTATGTTAATGGCATTCTAAACAGCAAGGCAGTATTCTTCTGGTCAGTTTTGGACACCATTCACAACAAACCAAATCACCAACAATAGTAAAGAAATTGTAACTCCAAAATCATAAACTACTCTACTTACATCCCAAATTTTTATATTCAGTAACAAACACCCATTATCAATTACTACAATCATTCCAGAAATAGTCAAAGTTTGAGTTTTGAAGGTCAAATGAGGTCTTTAACTTCAAATTCGATAATCATATCCAACTGTGCAAAAGTTACTAGAATCGAAGTATTATGGACATAAGAAACTAAAGAAGTATAGGCCAAATTAGAGTTCCAAATGTTGTGCGTTTGAATATCTAAAAATCAGATCGAAAATCGGCAATTCTTGAGAGACGGAGAGTGCTTAATAGTAGATCTTTAATGTTTAGTGGGCGTTATTAGTAATGTTAACTAGGGTACAGAAAACGTACTGATGTTTCTCGATAAACATGTGGCGCATAAATATAAGCAGCATCTGGAAATTGGAATTCATAGATATTGAATCTTTACCTCTCGTTCAATCTTCAATAGGGGAGGGATTGCTTCGATTGGGTTGATTTGTTCTAATTAGAAATGGATGAAAAGGATTCAAACTATCCGTCTCCCTGGATTAGTAGGGGGTTGTGGAGTTCATCATTTCCACTCATGTTCGGAAGTCATTGAAAGGTAATACATTGTAAGTCGAGTCATGAGTGGATATTGATAAATAATACATTGTGGGTTCAGTTAGGGGTGGCAATCCTCGGCCTAAAGCATTGACCCAACACGAAAATATACGGAAAATATACGGGTATGAGTTGAGATTTTTGACCCGCCAACCTGTTTATTTCATGGGTTGGGTTGGATTATCGCGGGTCAACCCGTCAACCCGATTATATATATATATATATATATATATATATATATATATATATATATATATATATATAATTATTTATCAGATTTGAATATTTGATTATCGTTTAATCGTTTTTCGAATTCCAAAACTGCAAAACATCTTCGAGTCGAGTTAGCGTGCTCTAGCCCCTAATCAAAAAGAAATTCAGTCTTCAGTCTCCAAACTCACGACTCCGTGTCTCCCGTCTCCGTCAATTGAGGCATCGAGTCATCGACTATCGCAGTGTCGCACGCATACCACTCGTCTTCTTGTTCTCCGATTGTCGCACACCACTCATCGTCGTCACTCATGTTTATGAATTTATGTTGAATATTTAAAACTTTATGACTTCATTTTATTTGTATTTTTTAATTTCATTTTAAAATGTGTTGCTTATTAAATGGGTTATACGGGTTGGGTTCGACCCACTAACCCACGAACCCATATACTTATACGAGTTATATGGGTTGGGTTGGGTTGATGTTTTCAACCCGTGACTCACCAACCCACCAACCTATATATTATATGGGTTGGGTTGGGTCAATGTATTCTGACCCGCCAACCCGTCAACCCGTGACCCGCCAACCCGAACCCAACCCAATTGTCAGGCATAGGTTCAGTCATTAAAAATAATTACTATTTTAGTATTTCTATTCATTATCTATTTTTAAATGGTATATCTATATTCTCATAACAATATTCGTGAAAACTTAATAAAAAAAACCTTGAATAATACATTAATACAGTATTTGTCAAACCATTATTTGCAATTACTTCATACTTAGAGACCGATCTCAAAAAAAATGTCACTATATATATATATATATATATATATATATATATATATATATATATATATTAATTACTTACAAATATTAACTTGAGAAGTAGTAAATTAAGTTATATTATATATATATATATATATATATATATATATATAATATAATATAATATAACTTAATTTACTACTTCTCAAGTTAATATTTGTAAGTAATTAATTTAATCATATATATCACCAAATAAATTTCAACTCCTAGAGGGGTGCTGTAAAACTCATATAGTATAAAAATATTTAAAAAAAAAAACAAAGAATTATAGATGTAATTTAGGATTAAAATTTGATAATAGCAATTGATATCAAACCGATCTTAGCTCAGTTGGTAGAGCGGAGGACTGTAGTGGAAATCATCTGACTGAAATCCTTAGGTCGCTGGTTCGAATCCGGCAGGTCGGATTTTATTTTATTTATTCTTTTCTTAATTTGTTTTATTTTACTTGGCTTTTCTGATTGTTATAACCCATAAAAAAGTCTTTAATTTAAGAAAATTGATTTTCATTATTCTTATTGTAGATGTAAGATTGACGATTTGTTGGACTTGTCCATCAACCATTCAGTAGTAAACTAGTACCATCTTCGCTGCACATCAAACTTCAACTTCCGGCCTTTAGCTATGCCAATTTTCATTTCTAGCCCTCCCTCTATTTTTCAGCACTTGCCTTAACTGGACCCTAAACAATTAACGTGTTGTTGTTGATTAAGAGAACTCTATTTTTAATTCTTGAGATAAACTAGAAAGACCCAAAATCAAAGAGAACTCTCTAAAAATATTCAAAAACTAGATATATATCTTATTTATGAGGATCAAAAATCCTTTATAGTTTATATAGAATTGGTGGCTTAGACTCTTCTAAAGAGCCATAACTCTATTAGACCCGACAAATGTGTCGTTTCGTGTCGAGACAGTAAATGGCTTGAGATAGTTTGATCATAACCCAACTCGTTTAATTATCGTGTCGAGTCGTGTCAATCTTTTCATTTTCGTATAGTGTTTTATATTTGCGTTAGGCATTGAAACGTGTCGTGTCATGTGAGGTTGATTCACTAAACATGTTGAAATAGTAGGAGTTTGATAGGCGGAAAAGAAAAAAAAATATTAGTTGGGAGGCGAAATGGCTAAATTCATAGTAAGTTTAGAGTAAAAAAGGAAAATAGTAGGAGTTAGGGAGGTGGAGGGCCAGGAGCATGATGAGAAGAGAGCGGTCGAAGGGATTGTGTAGTTTGGAAGAGAACGGAAAAAATGAAAATTAAGTTTTGACCTAAGCGGCAACTAAGTCGCTTCCACGTTACAAAATGATTCAACCAAAGTTTTTCTTTTATATATGGTTTTGGTTTTGGGTCTTTCTAGTTTATCTAAAGAATTAAAAAAATAAAAAAATAAATAAAGAATACATCTAAATAAACGAGTCATTATGCGAATGATATTTGAATTGAAATCTTTAACCCTAACCATATTTGTTTATTTTTGGTGTCGTGCCAATCTCTTTAATCAAATTGGTTGAAATATCTCTACCAAGGCCCGTTTATTTTGTATTGGGTTAACGTTTCGTATCAGTTTATATGTCACATATAAAGTCTATGGATCTAGTATTCATGCCGCATTTGTTTTGGACCAATCCCAAAATATCCAGCCTAGTCCAGAAAAAAGGGACCGTCCATGTGTTCGAAATAGAGAATGGAAAAGTTAAAAGTGATTGTCATGTGATTATGTGATTACTGAAACATTGTTAACTGATAGACACATGATAACATTTAGGGAAAATGACGAACATCACTTGCAGGGTTTGGTGGCCCGAAATTGACTTGGCTTCGCCAAAAGGCCTCATCTCTAAAAGCCCGGCGTTTTAAATTTATTCAAAATATCATTCAATTATTAAATGTTCAAAAAACATCATCAAACTAAGACATATGTTTAAAAAACACCAACGAATTACACGTTCTGTTAAAAAAACACCTATGTTTTGTCCGTAACTATTTTTTTTCTTAATTTGGACGGTGCATAGTGTTTATATTTATTTTGCCTTTGGACCATAATCAAGTTAAAAGACTAATAAATCCTTATTATTTTCATTTAACAATTATTTTTATTACATGTTAACTGTTTATAAAATCGATATATTTATAACATATAACAACATAAATTGAATAAATAATTAATAAATAATATAAATAATGTTAAATGAAAATGAGAAGGATATATTAGTCTTTTAACTCGATCAGATTCCGAAGTCGAAACAAATTTAAACTATAGGGACCATCTGAGTTGAGAAAAAAAATTAGGAGCTAAACATTAAGTTATCTCAAACCATAAAGTTGGTGTTTTTTAAACAGAACATATATTTTCTTGGTGTTTTTTGAACATATGTCTTAGTTTGATGGTGTTTTTAAAACATATAATACTTGAATGGTTTTTTTAAACGAATGTGAAACTTTGATGGTCTCCTAAGTCATTTTCCCTAACATTTATCTTTCTAATGCTTGAAATGAAATCTTTTAAATTGGTTAGGCACAATTGATTTTTGTTTTGTCTTTTGGTCATCAATTTTTTTTTAGTTAGGCACAATTGATTTTTGTTTTGTCTTTGGTCATCAATTTTTTTTATGCAATTGGTTATTAATGTTAGCTATTTCATGTCAATCACATTATTTTTAGACATGTGACTGATTTAACCGGTTTACTGGCTGACTTGCCATTTAAATAAATTAGAAAAAAAAAAATGAAAGACTGCGTAAGTAATTCCACGTATCACAAAATGTTATGTCCCTTGTTTAAAAGGTTGTCTTCTTCGTTCTTGTTCCATTAAACAAAGAGCAGGAGAATAACTAAGGTTTTGAAGTTTTATATCGAAAGAACTTGAGAAGTACCTGAGCAGTAGCAATGTCGATCTCGAACCTCGATGGGGTTTATAATCATGATGTCAAGTTTACCTTTAATGATAATGATCTTGCTGCTATGACATATTCTGAGTATATTATCGAGATCAGACATTTTGTTTTGTTTTCTTTAATGGTTTACACTACAAAAAGAGAAACATCTTTAAAAAGTAATATGTATTTTTTCTTAAAAGGGTTAATGACTTAAAAAGGTAACGTACTCGTTGGTGGTAACATATTTTGTTATGTTCACATTTAACAACCAATGTTTTTTATACACATTTGACCACTAACCTTGTTTCACTTGTCCAAAAAAAATGGTAATATTACCTATAAAGACGGATAATATTACCTTTTTTTGAACAGATGAAACAAATTCAATAGTCACATTTATACAAAAAAAATATTGTTGGCTAAATGTGAACAAGAAACAAGATTTGTTACATTTTTAAGTCATTAACACCATATTAAAATATTGGAATCTCAACTTGTATCACTATAATACTTGTTTATACAAGTATTATGTAACATCCTAAAATCGAGACCCAAATTTTTTTGTTTTAAAGTATATTACTTGTAAAATAGCTAACGGAAAACAACATTGAAATCCTTTCAAACATAAAGTCACAAATCACAAGTCTCAAAACCATTTTAGCAAATAGTATAATATCAGAGTACAATCTCAGGTTTCTCAAATGCGGAATATCATGTGTGAATGTGTGATGCGCTGCTACCCCGCCGACTCCTTCCCCTTAGATGAAGAGGTACCTGAAACCAAAACTAAAAGCCGTAAGCACAAAGCTTAGTGAGTTCCCCCATCATACCCATACCAAATAATGCATAATCTTCGGTATCTTTTAACCGGTAACTGTCGGGCATAGCTAGGAGCTGGGCTCCTCCTCGGTATCTTTCAACTGGTACCTGGGAACTAACCTCCCCTTCGGTATCTTTCAACCGGTAACTGGGAGCTACCCTCCCCTTCGGTATCTTTCAACCGGTAACCGGGACTATTTCACCCCTACTATTGCTAACACATATCCAGCACAGTAAACATATCAAGCACAGTAAACATATCAAGCACAATAATCATATCAGACACAATAAACAAATCTCATATCAACACTAGATAATTATCACAAAGACAATCATCTATCCAATACTCTTGCTTGTGGGCCGACATTGTGGCCGTAGACCCACTCCTACTAGGAGAAGACTCACCTCAAAGTTGTGTAGTGTCTGCACTGATCCCGGTATGAAAACCAACTCTCCTTGAATCCTCAATCCCTACTTTTCTAACTTATCATGTCATCCTCGTAACCCTTACACGGGTCAACTCAAGCCCAAGACAAAGTCAAGGTCAACACCTTGGTCGATGGTCAATTATCTGGTCAAAGTCAACATCTGGTTGACTCGACTCGCCGAGTTGGTCCACCAACTCGCCGAGTCCCCATATCCACAAAATGTCATAATCTCGTCCCTACTCGTCGAGTCTAGCAAGAGCTCGACGAGTTCGCCTTCAACAACACATCAGATTATTCTTCAACCGACTCGCCGAGTTCGTCCTTGAACTCATCGCGTTCATCTTCATCCATATGAAGGT